TACTGCTTCCACAAACATGTTAGACCACATGAACATTTTACTATTGGCTAGAAATTGTACAAATTTTTTTAAAAATTAATGAATAATAACATAGAAGAGAATATGAGCAGCAGTTGGATGCTGACACATGAAGTAAACAGGGATTCAACTCAGAGTTGAATGTGTACGTTGGGTATTCTTAGGTCTCCATTTCAAACACAACAATGTACATGTGACAAGAGGAAGGAACAAATGGAACTAAAGTATTGGGAACTGATATTCAGACATGAGATAACTAACCAGGTGATGTAAACTTAAAAATAAAGGGGCAGCCCGGTGCTGGGGAAGGGCTATACTATGCAGACTTACCTTGCATTTGCAAGAGGTTGATTAAATGGATTCAACTTGTGACCTCCAGGTCACATAGCAACAACACTAGTTGTCCCCTTCTGATTTAAACCGTAAAGAGAAATCAAATTTCATGATTTTAACTTCTGCTATATATTTCAAGATCATACTTCTGAACTAAGAACTTCAATCAAGGCTTTTTCCAAAGGCCATAAGAACAACCTTCTTCTATGAATTAATAAAAGATATGCACCATGTCCCAAACATTAACAATCTGATCAGGAGTGTGCCTTGATAAACTTTATCGAACATCTAAAGTTTAAGATACATCAATCTAAGCTATCATCTAAAAGTAAAAATTGTTAAGAACCTCAAGATCACCACCCCAAAAGCTAGCTCTAAGGGTGGGAGTGCCCAAGGCCTTATAAAGGCCGCCACATTAGTTGCTTACACAACCAATGTGGGACTATATATCTCAACAAAAATAAAATAAAAATCTCTTCCAACCATAAAATATATCAAGAAAAGGATCATATAATACTTCAAATTCCACCAGCTCATCTCACAGAACACTACTTGAATTCAGTTGGAAACTCCTGCCCTGCTTAAGTCACTGCACATTGATATTCCCATTGCACATGCCTTGACTTGTAGCTTGTACACTTCAACACGGTTTCCAAAAGTCTTTGAAACTAGACTAATAACAACACCCCATTTTGGCAAAGCACATAAAATGTTTGAAAATGAAGAATAAGGACATACCCAGCTTCTAAAAGCAGTGGAGTGGAGTACCGGACCACTTAGCAGGAGAGCAGTTTGAACATTCTTGGGTCTTGGTGGAGTCTCAGAAAAGGTTGAACCAATATACAACAATCCCAAAACAATCAGAACCCAGTTTCTTGGTCCAAGAAAACAATTAGAATCAGTATCAGATGAAGTGGGTACAGAATTGATGCGCCATTTGCAAATGCGAAGAGCTGGGGAATTTGTCAGAAGCTTAGAAAGTTTCGATCTTTTTGGTTTACTTGCGTAGTTCGAGGACTCTCAGGTTCTGAGAAGAGAAAACCCAAGGCGACGACTGCACCAACGTTGGCGCTGTGATTCCATGTTAAATATGTTATAATTAGTGTAACTAATTACATTATGTTTTGCTAAAAGCAAGGTTTTTTTTGTTTAATATATAATGCAGATAAAATTACAACTAACTCACTGTCCCGATGTATATTTTTATGATTTGTGAAAAGTATTTCTCCGGTCGATAAAGTTATTTTCGTTAAGCTTAAAATAATATCGTTTTGGATTATAAGATTAAAAAATTATAATAATAAAGACTAAAATAATCCTGTAATAAATTATAATTACAAAAACATCTTAATTTCTACCCAAAACATTTATTATTTTAAGCTCACTAGAAATAACTTATTTTCGTTTCCCTAAATAAGCCCTTTACCCAATTAATATTTAAATTATACTTTGAAAGGTAAGGATGTTGTCCGTTATATGAATCACTATTTGTGCAAGGGGTTAATATTTCTCACTAAATAATTTATTTTCTATATATGAATAAGAGTGAGCATATTCTAACTATCAAAAATTCTCACTACTAATTTACTACCCATCACATCACCATTGGATCAAAGAGAAAGAATATTAAAAAGTGTTTGAAGAGCTAATGGTGATTAGATAGGTAATAAGTTAGTAGTAGAAAATTTTAGTAGTGCAAATATCCCTCCTTTATGAATAAAGGGCAAAGGATTTTTTTTAATCAAAGGAGATAAGTTATTTTCGGTAAATCCAAAATGACATTATTTTGGGGCAAAAAATCAAAGTATTTTTATAATTTTAATAAATTGCAGGGTTATATTAGTCTTTATTATTATAATTTTTTAATCTTATAACCCAAAACTACGTTGTTTTAATTCACTGTAGATAACTTTATATTTATTGATTGGAGAAATATTTTTCCTATAAATAAAAATATGTGGGGTTCATATTTTCTATGTCTCTCTTTCATTTTACATGATTCCATATGGGCCTATATATTTTTGTAGTTGTATAGAAGATAAAATTATCTGCTATATAACATAAGAAACATCATTCTCTTATATTAAATTTGTCTTTGTTCATAAAAATAATAAAATCTTAACAAAATGCTATTTGACATTTTTTTAATATATTTTTATTAGTAGATAAAATTTCATATCTATTCCACAAATTGAGAATGAAGATAAATTATTTAGTGTTATAAGTCTTATCATAAAATTTGTTTTAACAAAAAAGTGTGTTGTTAATATTGTTTTAAAATCTAATTGTTTTTCTTCTTGTTATAAAATATTTTATTGTAGTTTAAACTTTTTTATATTCTTTATAATTATATTGTGGGTTTAATATTTTTCTGTCAAATAAAATAAATTTATCTCCTATTATTCCAAAATAATATGTTTATGAGAAAAATTATAATAGTAAAAATTAATATAGCTCCAAAATAAATTAAAATTACATAAATATATTTTTCCCTACACAAAGACTAATACAATCTTATATTTTTTTTACTATAACCTCATTCAACCTAATCGAACACCACTCACGCTAGTGAGCTTCATGGATGAAATTTTTATGATCAAGGTGCTCTCCAAAACTTTGTCTAATGACTCAAATTGCTCATCAATGGCCTTTAGAAGTGCCTTGATATTATCATGTTCTTCTATTAAAACCCTAAACGTGAGCAGATATTTTGGTCATTATGAACATGTCATAGAGACAATTGGATCACTCCACTTTTCATAAAGGTCAATATAAACAGTGAACATGTCATATGGTTCACTGTTTTTAGTAATCAGCGGTGGTTCATCTTTCTTCATAGCATAATCTATATCCATCCATTCTAAATGAAGGAGAATTTTTTCCTTTCAGATCTTATCTTGTAGTTGTCTCCTCTTAACTCAGAAATTTCACATCTTATATCAGAGAAAATCATAGATTTTATGACTGCAGATATTAAATAAACATGCTTATAAATAAAATTTTGAGACTAACAAATCAAATGTCGTACTTCACTAATATAAATCATGCTTAAAACTTTAATTTGACTTTGGTATCATTTCCTATTGACCTCAATTCCTTTCCCTATCGCGGTGATGTCGATTTGGGCATTAATTAATAAATTTTACAATTAATTAGGATAAACTATTTCTCTATCACATGAAATAAAATTATCATGAAAAAATTAAGGATATTTTAAAACTTTTGCATTTTAGATTGGAGTCATACAAGTGTAAATGAGTTGAGCCGAATTAAATTCTATCATAGACTTAATTTGATCTATATATTTTTTTTTTTTGATAACATTTGATCTATATTTAACAATCAAAAGGTTTGACTTATTATTCTGTTTAAATCTATTAAATTTTATTAATTGTCAAAATTATTTTATATATATATATATAACGTAATTATTTTATTAATTGAAATTATATAATTATTTATTTTATTTTAACAAATAAATAATATGATAAATCAAGGTGTTGTTTGTAGACTAAATTTTATTAAAATAAGTCGTATTAAAAAAAAAATTAAGTCCAAGCTTTTTAATTAAGGGAGAGCCTCTTTCTAGAATTCAACTATTGTTCCTGGGCTGATGTGGTACATTAGCTGATCATTAGTTGTTGTTTTTTTAATATATTCAATTTTATTAAATATATTAAATGATGTCAGACCTGATGCACACGGGCCATAGAGAGATCTTATATTATATTATATGCCGCCTAACCCATCCCCTAATTGGCCACTAAGTCAGATCTTATATTATATGCTCTATAACGACATCTTAATATTATAACCGATTAACTTCTTCATCAATCCATATAAACTGATTCAAATTGTGGTGCTCAAACTGAAAAATTAAAAATTGAATAAATCGAAAATTGAAAAATAGATCCAAATTTTACTTGGATTGAATTTTGGATTAGGTGATGAAAACCGATCCAATCCAAATTAATCTAGTATATTAATTTTCCTCTACCTACTTGGGTCTTTTCTCAATCATATAATCGAATAAATCGAAAATCGAAAAATAGATCGCAAATTTTACTTGGATTGAATTTTGGATTAGGTGATGAAAACCGATCCAATCCAAATTAATCTAGTATATTAATTTTCCTCTACCTACTTGGGTCTTTTCTCAATCATAACTCAAAAATTTCTAAATCTATTAACTAAACCCAAGTAAAAATTTAGTCACATCTTATTAGCAAAATTAATCCATTAACTAAACTCAAGTAAAAACCTAGTCACGTCAACAAAATTCATCTCATATCTCATTGCCTAAAACAACTATATTATTTTTGTAGTTCAAAAAAAAAAATTACAAAGCATGTTATCTACGTAATAGTCGTCATGAAACAAATTTTAGGATTTTTAAAAAATCGAAAACCGATTCAATCCAAATCCAAACCGAAAAAAAAATGAATTGAATAGGATCGAATTTGAAAAAAAAAATCCAAACCGAATGATGGATAATTATATAGTCAAACCCAAAAGATTGGATTGGATAAATTTTACTTCCAAAATCCATGCAATCCAAACGGCCAACGCCCTACGCCTAACCCATTCTCTCTCTCTCTCTCACTGTCTCTATTTATCTCGTTATGTTCGCCATAGTTGCTAGCTAAACAATGGACATACGTTCCGGTACATGCGAAGAAGAAATGCAGAGTGAGAGAGGAATAAGAAGCATTGAAAACAATACTCTGTTTCCGTTTGAGAATGAGGATTTGTTGATTCAAATCCTGCTGAGGTTGCCCGTTAAGTCTCTGCTACGTTTTAAGTCTGTTTCTAAGTCATGGTTTTCTCTCATCTCTGATCCTCACTTTGCAACTATGCATTTTGAATTATCTGCTTCATGCACCCAAAGACTTGTGCTCCTACCGTCTTCTTTTGCTTCTGAAAGTCTATCCATGATCGACTTAGATGCATCGCTTCTCGACTTTTCTTCTTCTGCTTCAGTAAGCCTTAGTTTTTTGCCTCTCCAACCTTCTTGTTTTTTTCCTATTCGAATTATGGGTTCCTGCAGAGGGTTTCTACTTTTGGTTTGTGATCAATTTTTCTATCTATGGAACCCATCCACCGGTGTCAACAAAAGAATATGTTTTCCTCCTTTTACACCCACTCTGAATTATTCTGTCTGTGTCAAATGTTTCTTTGGTTTTGGGTATGATCCATCAACTGACGACTACTTGGTGGTTCTTGCTTCTTTTGACCCAGTTAACGTGGCAACCCACTTTGAGTTTTTCTCATTGAGAGCTTATACCTGGACACAAATTGAGGCTACTATGCCTTATATGAACCCCTCTATTAATAAACCTGGGTTAAGCTCACTCTTGAATGGTGCTATTCATTGGTTGTCTTCTCGTTATGATGCAGCAGTGATTGCTATTCTTGCCTTTGATTTGATGGAGAGGAGTGTTTATGAGATACCTCTACCAAACGATATTGACATCTGCTTTGCATCTTGTGATTTGCTGGTACTTGGAGGATTTCTCAGTTTGTGTGTTAAGGGGAATCGTACAACTGATATATGGGTGATGCAAGAATACAAAGTGAAGTCATCTTGGACCAAGTCTATTGTTGTGCCTATTGGAACTCCTAATCAATACTTTTCTCCAATATGCTCTACAAAAAGTGGTGATATTGTTGGAACAGATGCTGGTCTTAGTGGTGGTATTAGATTAGTGAAATATAATGACAAGGGAAAGCTTCGACAGCATCGCTTGTATTCTGCTAATCCACGAGGATACGATGCAGCTATGTATACAGAGTCTCTGCTTTCACTCCCTGGAGACAATGACCAAGCTGAAGAAAAGATGAATGACAATAACAAACAAGACGAATTTGGTTATGAAATTTCTCCTATAACTTTGCAATTTTATTGATACCCGTCTTGTACTGTGAACTCTATGATGCATAAAAAGTAATAGGCAGAGAGTGATGCGACTACTTGGAGACAGAATATTTATTTTTTGTTTATCTTATTTCATCTTGATTTTTATTTTTTGCGTTGTTTGGACGAGTATTTCATCATTATGTTATTACTGTGTTAATGTTTGCAATTTGTTTCCTTCCACTCTTTTACAGTTTTTTTTAGCTTGAAGCCTTAATACTGAAGTTATTGCATTGCTATTGCTAGCATGACATGAAGTCAAGTTGTAAATTGTGAGGTTTATTAAATATCAAACTAAGCCTTAATCATGCGTCAGAATGAACCCCTTCCCTTCTCTGTTTAAGAAATCATGCCAAAAAAATGCTTTACAATTCTGTTTCCCCCTATTTAACCACCTAGCTCTTGATTGATTCACGAGACGGCTCCTAACTGACCCATGTGAATGCTTCTAATCATACTAACCCATTTCTTCATCAATATTGTACTATTTCAGATTCAAAATTCTGGATGGTTTAACCGATTTCTATGAAACTCCAAGCAGAAATGACCGACACTACTCTGTCTCTCATCAATTTTCTTATATCGAAAACATGTTCCCACTACTTACCCATACTTGCATGCATTTTTGCCAGGAGAACGTGCCTTCCACTTCGTTCAGGCTCAAATTCTATCAATTATTTCCAAAACTTTTGTCCAATTGAACATGACCATCACCATGCATTTAGACACCCTCTCAGAGAATAATATAAAGTATTAAAAAAACTATCACCAAACACTTTAAGATTTTGGATTAGGCTAAATTAATTATTTTGTATCTCTCATCAACCTTTATTTGATTAGGATTGCATTACATAATAGATTAAGATGTTATTATTATAAATAGGGCTCATTGCATATTATTTCAGTGTGAAAAAAAAACAAGAGAGAGAATAGAGGAAAAAGTACAAGAGAGAAAAGAGAGAAGAAAGTACAAGAGAGAAAAGAGAGAATAATATATAAGAAATAAAAGAGAGAGTTAATTTTTCAAGATTATGATTCTTTCTTGTGCATCAATTGAAGAGCTTTCTCAAGAACATTCATTCATACATTCATCCTTTGACAAAGTGAATATTTCTCCATAGGAATTCAGATTACCTATATGCTTGAGGAAAAGAAGCAATGAGGTAACATTTAATTGTAATTGTAATTTTCTTCTTGACCTTTTTGAAGGTCTGTACTGGGAAACTTGGATACCAGTTCTGTGCTGGGAAACTGGATACCAGCATGTCTCTTTTTCTTGGAAATTGAGAGTAAGTTGAGAACCCTTGTGTGATAGGGTTTCAGAATCCTAAAGGGTTAGGGTTTCGTACTGGGAAACTGGATACCAGTTTGGGAATTTGTGTAAGGGGTAGACTAAGAAACTAGGATACTAGAGAACTCTTTGTACACAAGTTTCATAGTGAAGTTGCCCGTCAAATTTCAGTATTCGATTTTAGGGCCCGTGGTTTTTCTTCCCTTTTGAATTTTCCATGTAACAACTATTGTGTTAATATCTCTCTATCCTTATCTTGATTTATTGCTTTGAGTTAATTTTAATTAGCGAATTATTTTTATAAAACTCAATTCATCCCCCTCTTGAGTTCATCTGGGACCAACACCATATAGGCCTATATATTTTTATAGTTGTATAGGAGATAAAATTACTTGTTATATTACATCAGAAATATTATTCCCTTGTATTAAATCTGTCTTTGTTCAGCTTACCAAAGAAAAAAAATCTGTCTTTGTTCATAAAAATAATAAAATCTTAACAAAATGTTATTTGACATTTTTTAAATATATTTTTATTAGTAGATAAAATTTCATATCTATCCCACTAATTGAGAATGAAGATAAATTATTTAGTGTTATAAGTCTTATCATAAAATTTGTTTTAAAAAAAAAGTGTGTTGTTAATATTGTTTTAAAATCTAATTGTTTTTCTTCTTGTTATACAATATTTTATTGCAGTTTAAACTTTTTTATATTCTTTATAGTTATATTGTGGGTTTAATATTTTTTCTGTCACATAAAATAAATTTATCTTCTATTATTCCAAAATAATATGTTTATGAGAAAAATTATAATAGTAAAGATTAATATAGCTCCAAAATAAATTAAAATTACATAAATTTATTTTTCCCTACACTAAGACTAATACAATCTTATATTTTTAGACTACAAACACATTCAACCTAATCAAACACCAGTCACACTAGTGAGCTTCATGGATCAAAATTTTATGATCAAGGTGATCTCCAAAACTTTGTCTAATGACTCAAATTGCTCATCAAAGGCCTTTAGAAGTGCCTTGATATTATCATGTTCTTCTATTAAACCCTAAACGTGAGCAGATATTTTGGTCATTATGAACATGTCATAGAGACGATTGGATCACTCCCACTTTTCATCAAGGTCAATATCACTCTCACTTTTGCAAGTATACGTTCCATATCTTTTTTTATTACCTTGATGTCAAGCACAGCGTTTAATTTTTTTTAATTACAAATACATTATATTAAGTTGCAAATCACTTGGATATTTTGAGACTGAAGAAAGATATATCTTTTTTGTTTATTCCTACATCATGCTCTTATATTTTAACAAAAAATATTATTCATAATATTTATTTTAAATTTAAGTAAACTTTTACGAGACAAACAAATCGAATTTTTCCCCTATGCATCGGCATGGGTAATACACTAGTAATCTATATCCATCCATTCTAAATGAAGGAGAATTTTTTTCCTTTCAGATCTTATAGTACAGTTGTTTCCTCTTATCTCGGAAATTTTACATCTTATATCAGATAAAATGATAGGTTCTATTACTGCAGATATTAGATAAACATGCTTATAAATAAAATTCTGAGACTAAATCAAATGTCATGTTTTTTTTTTTTTTTTTTGGTAAACATCAAATGTCATGCTTTACTAATATAAATCATGCTTACAACTTTATGAATTTATTGACATAAAACTTACTTGTGGGCTAAAGTTTTTACTCGGTTAGATATTATATTCCGAGGGCTAATTCAATAACTATTTAATTAAAAATGAATCCTTTGGCCTTTACCCCCAATATGGGGGGGGGGGGGGGGGGGGGGGGGGGGGGTTGTGTGACTTTTGGGTTTTGAAGGAGGATAAGAGGAAGTATTCCATCCTTTCCCTTCGTTAAAAATCTTACACTATGGGTCATTTTCCCCTTCCATTCCTCTTCTCATCTTCATCCAATCAGTACATTGTGATTAGGGCTCACTAGTTATAAATTAACTTTGAGACTACTTGGGGACGGGGACGTTTGGTAAAGGAGAATTTTTTTTTTGTCTGAGAATTTCGATTTTCAAAAAAATAATTTTTACATTCAGTTTACGATAATATTTAAAATTTTAAAATTTAAAAAAAATCAATTTTCCGAAAACCCTGCCAAAAGCCACGTACCAAACCGCCCTCAGTTTACTTGTGGCATTTACCTCAATGACATGAAATGCAACGATTGTCATTTTCGAAGTGGTTGGTTTGTTTAGGCTTTCTAACATTTTTATAGTAGTTTCCGTTGTATATTGACTCTCAAATTATCTTCAAATGAGTTAAGGAGTTTGTGAATTATTTAACTTGTTAAATGTTTAATTAAACTTATTTATCTAACTAAACAAACAAGTTTAGATTTGAATTTAAACTTGTATATATAAATGAGTTAAGAAGTTTTATAAATTTGAGATCAAAAGTTTGTAAATAAAATGATCAACTTACTCGGAATTTTATTAGATGCAACAGTTAAGAATGGGTACAGTGGTGTAACTGTGTAAGTTAGATATTTTCCTCTTCAATTACAAAATTTGTAACTGTGTAACAGTGGCATCACTTATTTCCCTCCTGCAAGTTTCCTTTATTTGACTTTGGGTGTTATCATTTCCTATTGTCCTCAATTCCTTTACCTACCGCGGTGACGTCGATTTGGGCATGAATTAAATTTTTTTTACAATTAATTAGGATAAAATATTTCTCTGAAATAAATTTATCATGAAAAAATTATGGATATTTTAAAACTTTTGCATTTAGATTCGAGTCATAAAAATGTAAATGAATTGAGCCGAGTTAAGTTTCACTATAAATTTAATCTGACTTATATTTAAAAATTAATATGTTTGACTTATGACTATTAATTTATTTAAGCCCATTAAGTTTTATTAATTATAAAAAAATATTTTATATATATATATAAAGTAATTATTTTATTAATTCATATTATATAATTATTTATTTTATTTTAACTAAAATAAATAATATGATAAATCAAGGTGTAGTTTGTAGACCAAATTTTATTAAAATAAGTTATGACTTATTTTTTTAAACAAATTTTTTTTTTAAAGTCCAAGCTTATTCGTTAGTTCTGGAATTTAACTATTGTTCCTGGCTAACTTTGTTGCTGTAAACAGACATCAGACATCGTACATTAGTTGTTCAAATAGTTGTTGGTTTTTTTTTATAAATATATTCAATTTTATTAAATATATTAAATGATGTCAGACCTTATATTATATTATACGCTCTATATATAACGAGATCTTAACATTATAACCAACCGCCTAACCCATCCTCTCTCTCTCTGTCTCTCTCACTGTCTCTATTTAGCTCGTTATATTCGCCGTAGTTGCTAGCTAAACAATGGACATACGTTCCGGTACATGCGAAGAAGAAATGCAGAGTGAGAGAGGAACAAGAAGCATTGAAAACAATACTCTCTTTCTGTTTCTGTTTCTGCCGAAGGATTTGTTAATTCAAATCCTGCTGAGGTTGCCCGTTAAGTCTCTGCTACGTTTTAAGTCTGTTTCTAAGTCATGGTTTTCTCTCATCTCTGATCCTCACTTTGCAACTACTCATTTTGAATTATCTGCTTCATGCACCCAAAGACTTGTCTTCTTACCGTCTTCTTCTGCTTCTGAAAGTCTATCCACGATGGACTTAGATGCAT